TGGCAGGGGGCAGGAGGACAGAAGGAGAGGGGGCAGGAGGCAGGGGGCAGGAGGACAGAAGGACAGGGCACAGGGGGCAGGGCCAGGGGCACCCACCTGCGGGAGCTCGGTCTGCAGGCGGCGCAGGCAGGAGGCCCCGTAGATGACGGTGTTTTCCGGGATCCCGAGGCCCCGTGATGACGGTGTTTTCCGGGATCACCTCGCAGGTGCTGACGGCGCAGCAGGCGCCCGTGGTGCACCCGCTGGTCAGGATGACGTTCCTGCCCACGAAGGCTGCAGGGGGGAGGAGGTGGGGACCCGGTGAGAGCCACCCCCAGGTGACACAAGGCCAGCAGGAGGAGCCCACGGGATCATTCCCAGGCGGGATCTCCCCGAGGGTTCAGGATGGGAAAAGTCCGGACTCACCCTTGGATTCGATGACGTTGTTGTCTCCCACCTTCATTGCCTGGGAATCTGCAGGGCTGTGCTAAGGAAACCTCCCCATCATCTCATAAGGGACCATGGGATTGTGGGGGTGGGAAGGGGCCCTAAAGATCATCCAGTCCCACTCCCCTGCATGGGCAGGGACACCTCCCACCAGCCCAGGTTGCTCCAAGCCCCATCCAACCTGCCCTTCAGCACTGCCAGGGATGGGGCAGCCACAGCTTCCCTGGGCAACCTGGGCCAGGCTCTCACCACCCTCACAGCAAAGAATTCCCTCCTCATGTCTCCCCTCAGACTCCCACTTTCAATGCATCCTCCCTTATCCTCTCCCTCCCTGCCCTTGTCCCAAGTCCCTCCCCAGCTTTCCTGGAGCTTTTGCTCCAAAAGCTGAACCCCCAGGTTGCTCTGCAACCAGCACCTGGCACCCTGAGGAGCCCTGGGGCTGGAAAACCCCCCCTTCCCAGAGCCCACAGCCCTGGGCAGCAAGGATACAACACCCGACCTCAAACACGTTGTTGGTGCCAATGACCATGGGCTTGGGCTCCACCTCTTGGGTGTCTGGTGTAATGTTCTCTGGATACCTGCAGCCAGGTTGTGGAACAACACAAGATACTCCCCTGTTTGGCAGCCCAGGTCTGTCAGGGCCTGACACCAAACGTGTCCTCCCCCACCCCAGCTCCACTGCTGGACCTCACACAGGGTCTCTCACTCTCAGGGTCTTTCTCAGCACCCACAGTGTCACACACACACACATCAAAGTTTGCTGCTTCTTAAAAAAAAACCCCAAACAATTCTACCTCCCCAGATGTTTTAAGCTCCTCAGGTCGCACCAGGGGAGGTTTAGGTTGGTTATTAGGAAAGATTTCTTCACTGAAAAGGGTTGTCAGGCCCTGGCATGGGGCAGGGAGTCCCCATCTCTGCAGGGATTTCAAAGCCACGTAGATGTGGTGCTGAGGGACACGGGGCAGTGGTGGCCCTGGCAGGGCTGGGGTGAGGGTTAGAGCTGATGGGCTGAAAGGCCTTTTCTGACCCAAACCATTCGGTGACACCTCAGGAAACACCAACCCTCTGGGAACCCCCCTAAAGGGCGTTCCCAGACACCCTGCAAACAACCCCCAGAGGGCCCAGAACAACTCCCCCCTGGCCCAGCCTGGCTCTGAGAGTCACCCCAGAAGCCAGAGTGTCCCCAGAAACCAGGGTCTCCCCAGAAACCAGGGTCTCCCCAGAAGCCAGGGTCTCCCCGGGTGTCCCCAGAAGCCAGGGTGTCCCTAAAAGCCAGGGTCACCCCAGGAGCCAGAGTCACCCCAGAAGCCAGGGTCACCCCAGAAGCCAGGACATCCCCAGAAGCCAGGGTCTCCCAGGAGCCAGAATCTCCCCACAAGCCAGGGTCACCCCAGAAGCCAGGGTGTCCCTAAAAGCCAGGGTCACCCCAGGAGCCAGAGTCACCCCAGGAGCCAGGGTCACCCCAGAAGCCAGGACATCCCCAGAAGCCAGGGTCTCCTA